CTGCTCGCTGGATTTCAGATACCCTTCAGTGTATTGCAGAGATGCTGCAAATCACGAAGCAAGCTATGGGAATAGATGTGCCTATTATAGAGAAAAAGCTGGAGAGGTGAGTTTTTGGTTTTTTTATTTTCCTGCCCTGAATCCTCAGAGCCACAATATAAAATTTTTTGAGACCACCAAGTCATTTCTGCATGAGATTCTCACATCAACTGTGTCCCCATTTTATCTGCTGTGTTAACCATTTCCTGATTTATTGCTTTTAATACCTACATGCTATAAACATTTATCTAAGGGTAAAGTTTTAAATATTTTCTCCCTGTCTGTTAAGTTTTGATTAGTCCCATACACAATCACAGTCTGTGGAAAGATTTCCAATGATTCCAGTGTACTTGGGGGTTTGGCCTCATATGTACACATAACACTATCACTTCAAAAGTGAGACCATCTTGGGAGCCATGAATCCTTGCCACATACGATCTTCCTGCAATGTAACTGCTTTTCTTTTAAGAATAGTATGTGAATATAAGACAATGTGTTTCTTTGATATTCCTTTTCAGGTGTCCTTTGTTATCTTGCATTTGAACACACAAGTGTGCTGTGTTCATATAGGCTGTCTCTAAAATGAAAGCCATACTATTTGTTATTTTTAGTTGTTAAAAAGTAGCATTTTGCAACTTGTATTCCATTTATAATACAAGACCTCTCTCTTATTTTAACGCCCAGTGGTTGGTACTATAGTAGGAAAACTTTGTAGAGCAAGTCAGATGTAGTTCTGTTCCCTCTCCTAATAATCAGTGGTTCTGTAATATGTTCAGTATTTTATATGGTACAAAACAGAAGATAATATTAAGGTAGCCTTAATGGCACTGCTCAATATAGGTTCAGAAATAGTCAACAGATGGGTGGTGGCATCTCTCATTGATGATGAGGGACTGGACTTCACAAACTACAGAAAGTGAAAGTACAGGTTGGACCTCCCTGGTCCAGCAACCTTGGGACCTGAGAGGTCCCAAACCAGGGAGGTCAGATCTCCTCTGCTGGCTGTCAGCCCCACTGTGGGCTCTGCCCCTGTCCAGCAGGGCTCACGACCACTGGCTCCCCCTCCTCCACTGGGGTTGCACCTTCCAGCCTGGTCGGGGTTTCCAGCTTGAGCTTCCCAGCTGACCCCACCCGGGGCTTCCTGGTTGCCATTGGCCTCGTTGGGGGCTTCCAGGCCACCTTTGCAGCTGGCCCATTACAGTTGACTTTCCAGCCCTCCTGCTGCTGGGACACTCTGGCCAACAACTTCTGTGGTCCTTGTTGGACCACAGATATTGCTGGACCCGAGTGTTTCAGATTTTGGAGGTGCACCCTGTACATTAAAGTGATTTGCTGAAATACTATAAGGCATATGAGGGGCACTGAATGCTATATTCAAGTCCATTTATTTAAAATGTGGCACATTACTATTCGGCACAATGTTTGTGTCTGACAGTGTAAGTTGAAATTTTGAAAAGCAGTATCATGGGAAGAAAACATTGCTGCTCCATATTCTGCGTGTAACTCCTGGCAACCTTTATAATCTGTTGAAATCTTCTATGAGCCACTCTGAGGAGGTGTGTGTGTGTGTGTGTGAAGCTAGATGGTCAAAATATGCATGTTGCTGTATTGATTGAAAAACTTTCTAAATTCAGCTCAGTTTTACAGAAGTTTAATCTGATAAACAAGAAACAGTTTGTTTACTCAGATATAATGTATTAAAAATGCTGTGTTGGGAGAGGGAAATGAATTCTTAAAATTAATTTTAGACTTCGTTGAAGGTTTTTATGTATGTGGTTTGGGTCCTAAATTACCATTTAAAATGCTGTGTCAGTTTGATTTTTTTTTCCTGGTGTCTGACATGTCTAGAAGATGGATGTATCCAATCTTACCATTCCAAGACATATTGAGGGCAAGTATACAGAAGTTGTAGTTCACAGTCTCCTGTCTATGAAAGAACTGTCAAAAATAATTGAATGAAAGGTCTCTAGTTTCATCATGCAAAACAAGGTCTTATATAAATGTACTCAATATTAGCATACTACTCAAGAATAGATACAGATGTTAAAACAGCCAAGTGAAATAGTTTTACTTTATAATGAACTTCTGGATAGGCTGAATCTAAATTTATTTCTAGGAAAGTCTGTCTCTGAAAGTCTAGAAAAATAAACTTAAAACATAACTCATTAGAAAAGCAACACTGTGTACCCAGAACACAAATTATCTCTGATTTGCAGCTAATTGCTCAGGACTGTTGATTTTGTATTGCAGTAGTTCCCAACTGTTTTTATGCCATGGACGGGCAAATCCATTCACAAATGTTTGGTGGACTGCTAACATTTTATTTGCATATTTATCATGCAAATACTAAATATGCAAATAAAATGTTACTGGTCCACCTCGCCCTTTGCTCCCCAGTGCCTAACACCCTTTGACCCTTTAACCTCTGACCCCCCTGCAGCCCATGCCAACACCCTCTTGCCCCCGTTAACTGCTGCACTCACCAGAGCCAGGCTGCCTCCTCTAGGGAGTATGGCCGTTTACTGCTGTTGGAGCAGGAAGAATGGCCCTCCTGCTTTGTGGCCCATCCCTCCCCACGCACGTCTTGCGTCCCCATGGGCCTAACACCCTTTGACCCTTTAACCTCTGACCCCCCTGCAGCCCATGCCAACACCCTCTTGCCCCCGTTAACTGCTGCACTCACCAGAGCCAGGCTGCCTCCTCTAGGGAGTATGGCCGTTTACTGCTGTTGGAGCAGGAAGAATGGCCCTCCTGCTTTGTGGCCCATCCCTCCCCACGCACGTCTTGCGTCCCCATGGGAGGCCCCCCCCCCCTCCTGCCACTTCAGCCCCTGCACTGCTGCTGTTAGCAGTAGCTGCACAAGCAGGGGGGCAGGGCCTTGCGGGAGATGCCTCCTGCTCCACCTCAGCCCCAGGGCCATCACTGGCAAAAGCGGCTGCGCAGGCGGGGGAGGGGAAAGCGGAGCCCTGGGGAGGTGCCTTCTGCCGCCGGTGGCAAAAGCAGCTGCATTGTCAGGAGGAGCGTCCATTGGTGGCACATGCAACTCCCTCCTTTCCCTCCCCAAGTGTGTGTCTCCAAGCGTGGAGTGGGGAGGAAGGCACTTCCTGTTCCACCTCTTGAGCCACTGTGGCTGCCAGAGGCGAGCCACTGGGAACAGCCGGCTTGTGCACCAACAGCCTGTGGTTCATGGCCCGACAGCAGGCCGCGGACCGGCGGTTGGGAACTGCTGCTGTATTGTTCGCTACCCACAACAAGCACAGTTGTGGTAAATGGTACTGGAAGACAATTCATACATAATGAAACCAGTATACACTCAACCTATGTCCAAGTGGTGATGGGTTATCAAGTGTAGTCAGATGAGTGCATTTTACTGGAGAAGGTGATTTTACAGAATATCTTGAACTATTAAAATGTTAAATGCAAGTGATTAACTTTAACTTTGTGGAAGATATTTTAAAAGCACAAATCAGAAAGTTCAAGACTATCTTCACAGCAATTGTAATTGTTTCTCTTGCGGCTATGTAACGCTTTCATTACATAACCTTGTCTTTATCTCTGCTTACAACATTTGTCAGAGTTTCAGTTGCAGTGGAACTTGTAATTTTCCAATGTCTTGTTTTGTGTTTAGCATTTTAGCTGTAATGGAACAAAAACAGTCCTTGTTAATAAAAGGATTATCTGAAATGTTAAAAGCAAACAGCAGAAATTGGGGTCACAAAAGCCCAGCAGAGAGATTATCGAGGTTCCCTTTGATTAACAAAACATAGACAACTGGAAAGTAGAGATTTTGCAAAGGAGCAATATCTTGCCTATGGGAGAAAATGTGTAGAGCCCTGAAGAGCCTGTGTAATGTGCATTTCATAGCAGTTGTTAACTGGTGGAATAATTTAGTATCCATATTATAGTGAAGATAACACTGGCCTATCGACTGGTTATTCTATATGTATTTCAAAGTAGCAGAAAGATGGATGGGTTTGCTAATTCAATTGCCTGACTTTTTTTTCAATTGTTTTGAGCACACACCACTTTCATTGACTTTTAAAATGGTGGATACTTCAACTTAAAAAGAAAAAAAAACTAGAGCAACTTGCTGAGTATGTGATAGAGAAATTTTCCTCCTTAAGGAATGAAAATACGTAGGAATGAATGTCAGAGGAAACATATGTAGACATTTGTGTATATTCCACCAGCACAGGAAAAGGAGGATTCCTAGGCCAGTTCAGTGTTTCTAAGCTGCAGAATACTTTAGTCATAGGAGATTTGAATTATCAGATATCAGTGGGGTTTCAGATAAAGCTAAAAAGGACTCAACAACAGGAACAAACTCCTGAAGTTTATGTAGAAAATAATTGTGTGAGCCAAAGAATAGAGAAGGTGAGACCGGGATAAACTGGTTGGATATAGATGAACAATGGAGAAGCTCTGAACAACTAACAAGCTACTTTCCACTCAAGTGAAGTAGGTACCCAGAACACAGGGTGGGGGTGTGTGTGTATACATGTTGTATTGCATGAAAGCAAATCATGTCTATTTAGAATCTCCATATCAACCTGAGTACAAGGTGAAGAATTTAAAGGATTTGCAAATTAAGACATAGCAGACAAGAGTACTTTGAAACAGAAGAACATAAGAAGGGCCATACTGGGTCAGACCAAAGATTCATCTAGCCCAGTATCTAGTCTTCCAACTGTGGCCAATGCCAGATAACCCAGAGGGAGTGAACAGAACAGGTAATCCTCACGTGATCCCTCTCTGGTCATCCATTTTCAGCCTCTGACAGACAGAGGCTAGGGGCACCATTCCTACCTATCCTGGCTTAGAAAAAGCTTAAATGGTCTTAAGGAAAAGGTGATGGTAGATGATAACTTATTGAGCAAGGGAGGAAACATGTCTGCTGAGGTGCCAAGACATTAGTAGCAAAACTAGTTGTATTTAATGCTTTCCTTAAGATCTAGAAGAATAAGTAGATCTGCTGAATCTCACTGATAATACTAAATTGGAGGGAAGGTATAAGTCTATAGTAGCAATGACAGAGAAATAAGAAAAGGACTTAGAAACCTGAAACTGCTGAATGGTATTCATATGCAAATTTGATACCACCAGAATGGGTCAGAATAGGAACTGGGAATGGCTCTCATTACAATAAGTAATTTTCCACTTTAGGTATTCTCACCTTCTTACCCACATCGATCCTTTTTGAATTAGCTCTGATGTAACACTCTGTATCCCTTCTATGTTTCTTATTTCTTTCATTTCATCTGATGGAGTGAGTTGCAACTCCTGAAAAGCTTATGCCATAATAAAATTGATAGTCTAAAAGGTGCCATTGGAACTCCTTGTTGTTTTTGCTAGGAAAAAAAGGCACGCTGTCATTTGGGTGGTTGGAAGATTGTAACTATCAGTAATATGCTACATAGAAAAGAAGTAATGCTGGAGAACAAGAAGTGATTGGTTTGAGTGAGTGAGCGGTATTAATCTGTTTGAGCAAAAACAGAGAGTCCAGTGGCACTTTAAAGACTAACAAATTAGGGGATTGGAGCGTAAGTTTTTGTGATCTACAAGTCACTTCCTCAGATACTGAAGAGAAAAAGAAAGACCGAAAGAAGAAAAAAGGATACAGAGATGGATCTGTGACAGTAGGTTGGAGTTTTCACTGTGAAATTGGGTCAGAAAGAGGCCTCCTTTTTTAAGGATAGTAATAATACCAGTCAGCTGCATGAGGAATGTTTCATTTAACTCCAGGAATCATATTGCCATAAAGATATTGGCACATCAGACTTGGAGTTCAGAGAACAATAAAAACAATCAAGGACCGAGAAGATTATCATTCTCAGAAATAAATATGAATAGCTTGGCTAGGCAGGGACAACCTGGGTCTGCAAATATTTGAAAGGTGTTAACACTAGGGAGGTAAATAATATAGGTGTAAGGAGGATGGAGTAAAACTAAAAAAAAATGTAGGCTAGATTTAAGAAACACTTGACGGTTTAAGAATCTAGGTTTTCATATCAAGTGGGACTTTTATATATATCCAACTAGGAGATGTACCTGGCATTGCTTGGGTTTGTAACTGAAGGATTTTTTAAAATAACTATACATGCAGTAATATTATTTATGTGTATACTGTTTAAAGCAGCAAACTTCTTGAATATCCTGTTTCATACATTTAGTGTCATAGATGTGATGTCATTGTCATGAACAGAAGTTTAGACTTTGATTTCAATCTGTGTTGATAAACTAAATTTATGCAAGACTATTTCAGTTATACAGCTATTAAGGAGAAGCGTAAATAAATATTTGCCATTTCAAGTAACAATTTACTTATTTTCTTGATTCATCCCAGTTACTGAAAAGCAATGACTTTCAAATCTCAAGCGTTTTTTGTTTGGTCAGGTTATACTAAATGAATAGATAATTTTATTATTTCATTCCTGGTCTTTCCTTTGGAATGATTCTAAAATTACTTTTATTTATTTGTTTTATTTATTTGTGTGTATCTGAATCTATTAAAATAAAATCAGTGTTAACTTGGATATTGTGAAACTTGTGATTTATAAGTATAACTGCTTGATTAACTGTACGAGAGAAGACATTATTTTCTCTTTAATTTTTCAGGAAGAGCAGTAAACCTCATGAGGACATCATTGGCATTAGATCCCAGAATCGAGGATCCCTGGCACAAGGCAAGAATTACTTAATGAGCAAGTTTTCATCTCTTAATCAGAAAGTCAAACAAACCAAATCCAATGTTAACATTGGCAACCTTCGCAAGTTAGGGAATTTTACTAAGCCTGAAGTGAAAGTCAATTTTTTAAAACCCAACTTGAAAGTTAATCTTTGGAAATCGGACAGTAGCCTTGAAACTCTGGAAAATCCAATGACAGATACTAAAGTCCATGTGGAATCGGATATTGAATTATCAGATAATGACTCTTTCCATTCTGATGACTTCCTTACAAATTCTAAATCTGATGAGGACCATCAATTAACTGACTCTTCAGAGAATCTAGGCCAGAGAGACTATGTTCTGCCCAGCTGTGGTATCATTGCTTCAGCTCCTCGACTGAGTAGTCGGTCCCAGTCAATAAACAGCACTGACATCAACATTAGCATTCACGTTCCTTCAGAGATCCATGTCGCCCAGGCTAGCAGACCTGAATGTGAAGACAGACCTATGCAGGGAACTCCTTTTGCTGACAATGTGGCAATGGAGTTCATTAAACCCATGGATGCATACTGCCACAGATTTGTACAAGATGCTCAAAACAAGATGACAGATGCTTTAGTGGCAGAAACTGCTCCTCAACAGCCCTGCCAAGGAATAGATCAAACCAGCAATAATACTTCTCAGAAAAGAGAAACCTGGTCAGAAACAAACACAGACATCCCTTCCAGGCCATCTAAACTGGATGTACCATTTTCTGAGTCAGGTTCTCAGTTCTTAGCTGTTGAGGAGACTTACTCTAATAAATGTCATAAAAGCCCAGGATCTGCATCCAGTATTCTTGAAGTTGAGACAGGACTTCATACGACTCCTTCTCCAGGAGACAGTAATGGCAGCAGAGCAGTCTCTCCCTTTGCTAAGATCCGCAGCTCTATGGTCCAAGTTGCTAATATTACACAAGCTGGATTGACCCAAGGGATAAACTTTGCAGTGGCAAAGGTACAGAAGAGCCCAGCTGAACCAGAGGCTGTAAATGAAGTCCAACAAAATGAACTGATACAAATGTTTACACAGTGCCAGACACGAATAATTCAGATTTAGTTGCTAACTTAGAATTTGTTCTTGTTGTGGCTCGTACATATTCTTAAATATTCATACTAGAAGACCCATGTATTGTGAATTGCCACTGAACATTGGGATAAAACAATAGTAATGTTTACAGGAAGTGGGTTTTTTTTTTTTTGAGGCAAATTTATTTTGGTTCTGAACAGGTTTCAGAATTCCCTGATGCAGCTGAGATGATACATACTATACTGAACAGGTAGCCTATACACTGATATTTAGTAAGCACGCTGTTCCTTTTAAATTGATTGCACAGTTGTCTTTGGGACAAATTTTGTAGGTCTTCTGATTTGTGTAGAATATTTATAGTAAGAGGGGCTGGTACTGCACTTCTTCTGTTACCTTACTAATCTTGCACTGCACCAGCAATATATATTTTACTGACAAATGACATTTATTCTATTTATTTTTGAAGTAGGTTTTTTTACTTTTTTTTGGTGTGGTTTCCATTGACGTTCTAGACATGTTCCTCAAGAAGTGGTGTCTTTGCAATGGGAATTGATAACTTTTAACTCGTTTAGTTACATTAACTGAAAGTTTACTCTTCCCAACCACCACTCTTGTCTATCCTACCTCAATTAAAGGATAAGACAGCTAGCAAAAATCTAATATCTTAATTGCCTGAAGTGCAACTTCTTTAAAGCATGGGGGTGGGAGGATTGTGTAAAACCAATGGGAACTAATTGCTGATATTAAAACTCTCTTGTTCCCTTTTATGTTCTACTAAACACATTGCTCTGTAACTTTTGTTCTCTATAATAAGGTAAAACAATCAGGGTACTTATTTCTGGATGCATATTGCTAAGTATATCAGGTCATGTCCTGATGTTGTGTTAATTTGATTAGAAGTTTTAACTGCCGTTAGCCAAAACCAGAAAGTGATTAAGCAAGCAGAACATAGAAGGAAAGAGTATTCATTCATGAAGTCTGTCTGGTAATTTTAAAAATAAGATTATAATATGTATTGAAACGGTTAGTTTAGTTTAAACCACCTTGACTTTATGTGATATTGGCATGGATGAGGTTGAATGCATACTTGTGAAGGGAATTAGGGACCAATAAATGTATGTGTAAGGAATTAAATCTCTTTAGATTCTTGATTTCCTCTCCTCCCCCCCACCCCCCCAGAATTGGCCTTCCAACACTGTCCTTTGTAGGATGTCATCTATAGAAACTACTGCATATAAAGCAGCATCTTGCTATACTGTGGTTCATAACTATAACTACCACAATTATAGAGCCAGTGCCTCTGTGTTTTAGTACATGTACTATAGGTAGGTGATGTGGTGTTCTAAGCAATTATCAAATGTCATGGTGGTAGTAAGGTGTCTGAGAACCTCTCTAGTGTAACTGAAGTAATTATTAACTAAACCTGATTGTCTGAACTTTGATAAACAAATTCCATTTTGTTATTTATTTGTTTTATTACAGTGAAATGGTTTGTTTTTTGGCGTGTCTATATACATTTGTGACTATATTTAAAAATAAAACATCAATTGTATTTTACTGTGAGGGACGAACATGAGAAATATTTTAATTAAAAAAAATAAACTCAGAGGCTTTCTGCTTCATGTTTGAATTAGGTTCTCACTTTTCAAACCAAAAGCAACATCTTCCCAATGTAGCTCAGGTTCATGTTTGAATTAGGTTCTCAATTTTCAAACCAAAAGCAACATCTTCCCAATGTAGCTCAGGCTTTCATGCCTTCTTTGCATCCACTGTCCACTCCCTAGCTCCCAGGATTTAGCCCTATAAGAGCTTCCAGTAAGAGGTCTAAACAACCCTAAATCCTCCACCAAGGAGAAGGGCGGATTCTCTATCTCCTGGAAAATATGCTTGAGCCAAAGCAAGTTATTAGGTCCAACACAGGAGTAACTAGATACTATTTTCTAGCCCAGAGGTGGGCAGTTTTTAATGGGGGGGGGGCACTCCAAGGTTTTGGCAAATGGTCCCAGACCACATTTCTACTGAGGAGGTTTGGGGTGTAGGATAGAAGTTGGGTGCAGAGGGAGCTTGGGGTAGGTGACTGGGGTAGAGGAGGGGGTGTGGTGTCATAGTATGATTAAGGGAGGGGGTTGTGGTCTGTGGCAGAGGCTTGGAGTGGGGAGTCCAGAAGGGAGTACAGGTGCAGGAGAGGATTCTGGCCTGAGGGAGGGGGCTCTAGGCGAGGGTGCAAGGTCTGGGAGGGTGTTGTGACCTGGGGGAAGGGAGTGAAGAGGGTTTGGGTGACTACTTAGGGCAAGGGAATGTAGTGCAGGGTCAGAGAGAGAGTATGGGTGCCAGAGAGGATCCTGGTCTGGGGGAAGGGTGGAGGAGGGAGTGCAGGATCTGGGAGGGGGTTGTGACCTGTAGGAGAGGGATACAGAGTTTGGGTGATGGCTTGGGGCAGGGAGGGTTCCAGAGGCAGACTCTGGCTGAGAGGGGCTTACCTAGACAGCTCCCAGCCAGCAGCCCTGCAGGAACATGAAGGCTTCAGTCACAAGTTGCTCTATGTGGCTCTGCTAGGAGCATGGTAGAGAAGGGGAGGGAGGGAGGAGGCTTATTTGATTGTCTTTGCTGCCAGCAAAATATCTCAGCTCCTTTTGGCTGGAAACTGGCTAATGGGAGCTAGGAGAGTTTGCTGAGGTGGAGTGGGGGTGAGTGAGAGAGCACAAAGCCTCCCCTCCTCACTCCTAGAATAGAGCAGCCACATTTAAAGGGCTGCAGCTGTGCTGTGGTTAAGGGCCTCAGCGAGGCAGCTGTGGGCTGGATCTGGCCTGCTGGAAGCCTCTTGCCCACCCTGCTCTAGCCTGTGTGGTACAGGTTAGGCTAGATGATCTGTTGGTCCTTTCTAGCCTTGAATCATCACTTACTAGGGTTTTAAAATCCCATTTAATTGGTTAACTGATTAAAGGGAGGGAGGGCTGCTCCAGCCGAACCAAAGCAGACCTTGCTTGCTATGTGCCCAGGGCTGCCACAGATAGGACAGGACGGACCAGAGCAGGCCCCAGTTAACCTTTCACATCTGTCACTTACTCTGCCTGCCAAAGTTTCCTGCAATATTTGGAAAAAAAAAATCAGACACTTCAAGGAATGCAGGCAGATGCTCCCTTCAGAATGCTATGGCATTGGTGCACAGTGAAGGAGGAATTAATTTACAAATAAGACACCTGATAATTTGTGTGCATTTTGCAGTTTTATTCCCCCCGTAGTAAGCTCCTAGGAACAGGGACATTTATGTCTAAAGCCTATGTACATACAATGTGGTGTAGATGTTTTGCAAATGACAATCGCAGAAGGAATGTGCTGGAAACCTATCACCTTTTGCGTGGGGCATTTGGCAGATTCATACTCCTCTGTCTAGCTTTTTGGTTATCTTTGGTAATTTAGGCACTGACTTGAAGAAAACTAATTTTTCTGCAATAGGATATCTTGCTTCAAAGCCTCCATTTTCAGGAGCCTGTCTGCTTCTGAGGTAGCAATGTGTGACTGGCTTAGTGATTACAGCCTGAGGGAGGTCTAGGCTTTGAGCATAATCAATAGCAAGATGCCATCCTAGGATGGGTTGTGCAGAGCAATGAGCGAGGGGAATCTGGAAACAAACTACTTAAGTAGACTGCAGAGTCTATGGCTTGACTTGACACTTGCACCTCTAGCCTAACACTCAGACCACTGAGCTCTGAAAAACGTCACTTCTATTGCCAGTTTCAGTTAGTGGTGGTTTTCATCATTAGAACTTGCACAGTAAAGAGAAGAAAACACTGAATGAGCTTAACTCATATCTTGCTTCATTGTACTTACCTCAGGCTACTTTTTTTCTCTTCAAATACAGTGTAAGGTGTATGTAAACACCTAAGTGGATTCATATTTTGTTTATCCTGTTCAGTTTAATTTTTTAAATATTGCAGAATGCTGGGTTTTTGTTCAATCCATGTTAGGTGGCAACTGTGTGTGTGTGTGTGTGTGTGTGTGTGTGTGTGTGTGTGTAGTCTGCTACTGGGAATGCAGTAGTGTAAACAGATAAACGATGGCTCATTGGTTAACCTTCACAATTACGTGCTGTCCCTTCCCTCTGCGCAGGGGGGGGAGCCTGTATATAACTGAAGGTTAAAAGCTGGCTCCCTGAATACACCAACTCCTGCAGAGCCACCTCCCACCCATGCATGAAAATGAAATTTTCAGCAGGGTACATATTTACCAAGATAAATGCATTTTAACATCCCTAATAGCCACTCATGGTAGACAGTATTAGCTGTGGGAGACTTGGAGGGATCAGTAATCTTCTGGGTGTGTGTGTGTGTGCGTGTATGCAAAGAATACACATAGAACAGACACATACTGAGCTAGTAAGTGGCAGGGAAGGGAGAAGTGACAGTGACAATCTGTTGTCCTTTGGGGTTTTCCGCTTCTAGAAAACTTGTATAACTCACCGCTTAACTTTTCAAAGCGCTTTGTGCAAACAAGCTTTTGTCATGAAAACTTACAGAAACTTATTGTCTGCTACAAAACAGGAATCCTCTGATCTAGCAAGCCACTTTGAAGCTCAGTTTCAGACAAGGGTCTCAATGAACAGCATTACTTGGAAGGTGATATACAGGTGCTGTACAAACTTGTTCTCAGTGCTGAAAATGAACTTCATTTCAGACTTTCAGCACATGCAATTGTCTACAGCTAAGCAGAGAATTCAAGAAGGTTGTCTGACTACATGGTACATATATATGTAGTGTGGAGAAGTTTCTGAGCTATCCCTAACCAAACTGATTGTTTTAAGCCTTTTTGTGAAGACTGGAGTGAATCCATGTATTAGACCAGTAGAATAAATATGACCTCACTTTGTGTTGTCAGGAAAACTTTTGTCAAGTTAGTTATTTTTCCCTCCTCAGGTCTGCAAAATTTTGAACAAACCTTATCTAAAATATTTTTCATTAGACTGGCAAAAGCATCAGAACTACCATTATCACAACTTATTTAATTAGCCCCAGAAATAATATTTTTTTTCTCAGAAGTATAACACATGGCAGTATAAGCATAAAAAGGGAGTGCAGGTGGATGCTGGGTTTTTTCCCAAGAATTGAGTGTCCAGAATAACTGAACAAAGGGTATTTCTACAATAGCAAGTTTCTTAGAAATCATTAATAGCTGAATAGACACTGAAAATAGTAATAGTGAAAGAAAATGTAGAAGCTTTTCTCCCTCAAGAAAAAGGGCCTTGTTACCATTTACCTAATACTGTGTTTCAGAAAAGCTTGTTGCATATTTACTCTGAATAGCATCTCTCTGCTTCAAGAGTTGGCTTGAGTAAATTCTACCTTGTGCCATGGTTGACTCATGAAAAGCTCATACTGATGATGTATTGCTATATACAGGCAGTCCCCGCGTTACGTACAAGATAGGGACTGTAGGTTTGTTCTTAAGTTGAATCTGTATGTAAGTCGGAACTGTGAAACTGATCAGTTTCAACAGCGGCTGAATCTGGACGCCAGTTCCTACTTACATACAGATTCAACTTAAGAACCCCAGGCTCTGCTGCTTTGCTCTGCTTTGCTCCCCGTCCCCCTGGTCTGTAGACCAGGGGGACGGGGAGCAAAGCGGCGGAACACGCGGGCAGCGGACAACCCAGACGTGTCTGGGCTGTCAGCTTCCCTTGTGCTCTGTGGCTTTGCTTCCTCTCCCTGGTCTGCTGGAGACCAGGGAGAGGGAGGGCCCCGTTCATAACTGCGGATCCAATGTAAGTCGGATCTGCGTAACTCGGGGACTGCCTGTATCTTTAAATGTACAGACTGAGAGCTTAGCCTATGTAGACTGTCCTTGAATAGCTGCTGCATGTTAAACTGGTTTCTGTTCAACAGTGACCTTTAACTGGATGCAGGTTGCACCATTGCTCTGCAAACTCCATGGATTATCTAAACTTAAAAGGCTGGGCCTGCAATTGAAACTCTTGTTTGTCCCAGCTAAGGAGGATTAGCAGCTCTTTATAGATGGATGTGCTTTGACCACATGCCTTCAACAACTGAACCATTCATTGCATCTCTCTACAGGAGAGGTAGGGAACCTGTGCCCCTTGGCTTGCCTAGATCCAGTCACCTAAGGCTCAAGCCT